CTCTCTCTCTCTCTCTCTCTCTCTCTCTCTCTCTCTCTCTCTCTCTCTCTCTCTCTCTCTCTCTCTCTCTTTTTTTCTCTCTCTCTCTCTCTCTCGCTCGCTCGCTCGCTCGCTAACTGACTGTCTCTCTCGGGACTTCGGGGCCTGTCCATCTCAACTCCGAGATAGTGCGGATGCTATCTTGAGCAATGCATCGCATAACATGCGCTGACCCGCATCAAGCACCTCGCATTGTTTCTCCTGCATCCTCGCCTCCCTCTCCATGATGTCGCATTGTCGTTGCAACACATCACATTGACGCTTGCTGGCACGATCCACAGACTCCGCCACGGCTGTCGAATGCGTCTTCATCACGTTTGCGACAGCATCGAAGGCCATCTGCCGCGCATTCTTCCGCTTCCCTGCAGGCGTGCCCCCTGAAGATCTGTTGCCATACCCGTCCCCCGCTCCGCTCTCCATGTTGTCACTCGCAGACGTCTCTCCCACGGCTGTCGGCCCTCGCGGTTGGCTCTGATCACCCTCATTCGCTTGTTGTGGAGGCAGTCCGCCGGTGTCATGTAGATTAGGCGGGTGTATGGCCTGATTGTTGGGGGTTGTTGCGTGGATGGCATCATATAGTTGTCTATCCATCGCGAACTTGAAGCCTAGTTCTTTGCGCTTCTTCGAGGTGAGCACGAAAAAAGATTGCACGCCCGAGTCTTTTTCCCTGTCCCAAATTTTTTTGTACCACCCAAAAATGTTCTCCCATCTCTTCATGCACGATTCCCCATCTCTATTCGTGACACCTTGATGCACCATCCGCTTCGCTATCTCGTTCCATTTCCACGTCTTCGTCTTCATCCGCGCGAAGTTGCTGCCTTGGCTCGCCATATACTCGTCCAGGTCCCTCTTGCACCGAACGAGGACGAGCGATTCGTCCAAATGCCAATTCTGCCGCGTGCTCCCTCCCCCACCCTCGCCATCTGCACCCCCCCCTTTCTCCCTCGCCTTCGACTTCGCACGACTCTTGCTTGCCTTATTCTTCCCCCCTTTCGATGTCGGCTCCTTCACCGCAGGCTCGCCATCATCGTCGCTTTCATCGTCGTCGTCCGTGCAATCCTCCGCCACATCCTCACCGTCACCGCAAGTGTCACCTCCATCATCGCGTTGAACGTCTGTACGCATCCTTGAGTAGTGCGCTTTGATCCTCTCTATCACTTGGGGGGACTTTGCCGCAGTCGCCGTTGTCACTCTTCCGTCCACAACAGCGTGGGGAACCCCAGTGCCGACAGGAGTCGTGAAGCCCGGCGGTCGGCTATGGCTGCTCGTGCATGCAGACGATGACCTCGCCGGCCGCTGTGTGTGAGGTCCGTCTTCTCGGGCGTCCTGCATTGTCACCGACACACCGCCCTGTGACCGACTGCTGTGCTCCACGAGGACGGTTCTTGAAGCATCCATACCGCACGACGGGGACAAGTGCAGTTGCAAAGGATCCACCCCCGCCCCCCCCCCTCCTGTCAACAACGTGGACATCGGACCCATCCCAGTGCCACGATCACCCGATCTGCCCCCGGTCTCGTAGGAGGTCTGCGTGGACCCCCATGCGAGAGGGAGGGTTGAAGGGGGCGGCACCCAGTCCTCGTCATCTGGCAAGGGCTGCATGTAACTCGGCAGATGGGCGTACAATGCGGGGTCGAATCGCTGGCGCATTCTGTCGGGAACGCCGTTCGTAGGGGCAGACCCCATCCCATACATGTGCCCGCCATGGAGATTATCATCGCCCATCCCCTTCCTCACCCTGCGTCCTCCACAGTCCTTCTTCGTTTGCTTCTTCCGCGGACGGGCCCGACATTGCCTCAGCAACTGGCACAGTTGGACCACAATCACGATCAGCAAAGCGACGAGGAGGATTGACAGCAGAGCAGTCTTCCACAGGAGGTCTGCCATGCGCACGCGTCAGGCGTGATGAAGACAAGCAGCGAAGGAGGCAGTTTGGAATATGACAACGCCTCTCCTGACGCAGTTGCTATTTACATGGATCGGCCACCGCTGAGGGAGTGTTGTGTCCAGCCCTCTCGTCCAGACAACTTCCATCGACTGGCCGTTGGCAGGGACGGCGCTAACGATCTGCACATTTCGTATTTGAATAACCCCCCGCCAACAGCCATCCGCCCCCCTGCCGCCGAGGGAGTGTTGTGTCCAGCCCTCTCGTCCCGTCAACTTCCATCGACTGGCCGTTGGCAGGGACGGCGCTAATGATCTGCACATTTCGTATTTGAATAACCTCCTGCCAACGGCCATCCGCCCCCCCCCTGCCGCTTCCGGAAAGTCGTGCCTCCCCTCCCAACGGCCACCGCTGCCTCACAACGGCACTGGATCCACCGGTACCGGGTCTCGCCGGTGCCAATGTCCCGCCGAAGGGATGGTCGCCCACACACTGGACCAGGAACAAACGCGGTTCGTCAGGAAACGAAAAAAATTGCCGACAGCCTCCGCGAATGACGCGATCTGTAAGGGCCCACCCTCACATTTCAAGTCACCTCCGACGGCTCCCTAGAGATTTCCGTCGTTTTGCCTGGGCCGCCCTTATTTTTTAAGGGCAGACCCTACAGCCTCAAAATGTGGAAACACTCCGGAGTTCGTTTTCGTCGTTATTAGGGTGCTGTGGAACGATGATTTTGTAAGGATCCTTACATTTCAAGTGGTATGGAACGAGGCCCATATCCTGTGCAGCTCTTTTATTTTATTTCTTTTCTTCTTTTTTCCTTTAAAAGGGCGCGAGCCTTGAGATATTATCGTAGAACCTGGCCAGCCCCAGGAGCATGGTCCCATTAGCAGTCGGATAGGAGTGTGGCCTATCCAGTGTGACACTGAGTGGCGGCGGGCTGACAGGTTCATTACGAAATGAATTTCTGGGGTGAGAAAACAGGAGAAAGGCAAAAAAAAAAAAAAGAAACAGAGACCTGCCACCGGAAATCGCTGCAGAGTGCTTCCCAGCCATCAGATCACAGATGATCTGATGGTGGTGGTTGCAACAACAGTGAACGAAGTAACTGCCACATTTTCTGCAATAAACTCGACTTCTGTCAGCAGTGATCCTGACACCCTCCATATACTCCGTGATTGAAGGAGGGCTCCACCCAATGAGATAATTGCACAAGAGCAAGAAAAATACTGAAAATCTTCTATCCAGTGGGCCTATGGCCGACCCCACCCTCTTTTGGGGTTGGCCACACCCCCAAACCATTTGAAAAGATTCTGGCGGGACACTTTCTTTGCACGGGCATGCCCAGTGAGTGTTAAGGAGAGGAGGAGGGGAACAAAGATCTTACTTTTTCGGGTAATACATGTAAAATACTGACCGTGGGATCACTCACGAGTACTACACGGCAGGATTTGGGTCACTCAACTGTCCCACAACCTCGTTTCTATCCTATCCCGTTGCTAGTGGGACCACGCTCCAGGTAATTTAGAATTGTAGTATTTCACTCATCTGCTTCCAGCGGAGTTCGAACTTGGGTCTGTATTTCAACATTTCAGGAGGTGTACCAACTGAGCTGGGGCAGCAGCTGGTACCTCGCGCAGAAGTTTGCTAATCCTCCGTGTGGGAAAAAGAAAAAAGAGGAAAAAAGCACTCACCTCAAGTTCTTGGTTCCTCTAAATCAGTTTTAAATCCAGTTCAGGCATCCCTCGAATACAACACATCCCCACCCGACCCTAAAGCTGGGTTGTATACATTCACGATTTTCCTCTCTAGGTTTGACACAACATTCGCGAAATGGTGACTGAAGCGCATTTTCAAACTGACTCGGTGACAGCACCCTAGTTTTCCCTCTGATCAAACATCCTGTCTGTATCTGGGATGCTGGACCCGGTTTCCAGCAGGTGCTGCCCCCCACCAATAGATCGGTCCAACCGCCAGGGGGCCACTAGGGGGAGGTGCTCTTACGATCCCACCTAGCGGTCCAAAGCTGGCTCTTTTCAACAAGAAAGAAAGAAAGAAAGAAAGAAAGAAAGAAAGAAAGAAAGAAAGAAAGAAAGAAAGAAAGAAAGACAAGAAAGAAAGAAAAGAAAGTA